CTCCCCCCTCCCCTCCCTCCATCCACCTTCCTCTCCATACACACAAGTAACTAACCTCTCCAAACTGTCCCTCTCCCATTTCAGTCTCTCTCCTCCTCAATCCCTTCTCTCTCTCTCTCTCTCACTCTCACTCTCCCCCTCCCCTCCCTCCATCCTCCCCCCTCTCCACACACACACAACCAACTAACCTCTCCGAACTGTCCCTCTCCCAGAACCTCCACAAATCTCAAGTCCTCCCTCCGTAGCTCCATCACGGAGTAGTCGATGCTACACAGCAGGTCAGCGTTGGGCACAGCGTACACATTGTTGCCGCTCACACCCTGCATGCTGGGCACACTCCCGCCGTGCACGTTCACGATGTCGGCTGCCGCGTACAGGGCATCGTAGTTGGGCGGCTTGTCCATCAGGGACAGCTTGTTGGGGGCGGAGCCTCGGGGCGGGAGATTGACAACCAGGGCGGACTTTGTGATGTCGGGGACGGCGTAGTCACGGTGCTCTCCCCCTGATCACGGGAAATATGGCCAAAGGGTCGAAGGTTAGTTGTTGGGATAAAATATTGGCCAACAAAAAAAATGAGTTTTTCTTTTGAGAGAACAGCGATTAATGGTCAGTACATAAAAAATAAATTGCTATATGTTTATAGTTCACAATATTACAATTAGAATTAACAAATCAAAGAGACCTATGTTAGTGTATATCTTGTATACAAATTGCAATAAGGTTACAATGAAAATATCAGAACTGATTTTTATGTCTCAAAATACTTAAAAACCTTGCAATAGTCTTTCTGATTTCAGCTAGCAGTAACGCTGTCCATAAAAGGAGTTTGGATGAATACAGTAGCATGTCATACTGTTACCAATTTCAGAATAGAAAGCACCTAAACTAATTCAATGATCCAATATATTTCTAACACGAGTGCTCATTTCAGCCACAGTGAGTGAATGTACCATCTATCTATCCAGTTGTACAGAGAAATATGTGAGGCATCGAGGTGAAATCAGCCGCTCCTCAAAATAACAATATCGAAGAAGGCAGCATATTTCTGCCAGCTTGGTAATTTTTATCTAATTTTTGTTTTATGGGCTCAAAACATTTAATGTCAATTTGAAAACAAATTTCTGTGTAGATTTTTACTGAAAAATCAGTGACTAAAGTCACAAGAATGTAAATTTTCACTTTCCAAAGATATGGATGTCACCAAACTTTGGCAGCCTTTTTAGACTCCGTAATCTTTAACCAACTCATCAAGAACTCTACGTCCAATGGAAACTATTAGAGGCTAGTGTGGCATTAGCTTTAGAAAAATAAATCTTTTTGACAAGCATTGAGACGGCTAAGGTACATGGTAATATGAGAACATTCACAGACAAAAGCAAGCATTCTGGTAGCTTCCCATGCACTGCCTTGGATCAGCTGCAAACAACAGAAATGGTACGCTATGCTTGCAGTAGTGAAAAATAAATCAAGAAAAAATAACTTAAGCACTGAGAAGGAAAAGAGCTTAAACAAACGTAAAATAATAGTGTTAGCAGAAAGAACACAAAAAAAATATTGCATTTTTTTTTCAGAGAAAAAAAAAAAGAAGACAAGACTTTATGAAAAGCAAATGGTTATTTGCAATAGTACTTTACAAACCCTACTAAAACAAACCACTGGTAAAAATCTATTAAGTGTCAACGAAGGAACAACCCCTTGAAAAACTGCCAGAAAGAAAAATTGATGAAAGAAAACTTGTTATACAGACAAATAGTCACTTTTCATAGCTTTAAAAAAAATTCCAAAAATTCTTGGCTCTCCCCCCTCCCCTCCCCC